AGTCGACCCCAGGGCCATAGGGCGGCTGGAAGAATTAGGTCAAGTGAAAAAACCCACCTCATCGGAACTGCAACCCGCGACCTTCCGGCTTGTAGCGTAGTGCCTCAACCAACTACGCTACCGCGTGCCCCGAAACATACAGTAATGCATCAGAATTATATTTTTGCAGGAATTAAGAGCTAATTAAATTTAAAAGACACTTGTTGCCACTCAGTTCACAATATTTTGTCTTCAAGCCTCTTTTCTAAAAATGTAGAGACTGAAACACAAATAATATAATTTAATGTATTGTTTTGTTTGGATCCGAAACCTGGCATCTCGGTCTAAGGGAAGAATGCAGACACAGGATGCCTGAGAAACAACAACTGAGAGGAACATTTGTTCCCAAGAGAGAGAAAGGAATAGGGGGATTCAGAAAACCGTATGATTAGGAGCATCATGATGTGTAGGCCTGTTCTTCGCCAAACATTGTCAAGGTTATGAAATAAAAGTTGCCATGGGAGGGGTATGGGAGATGAGAAATGCATATAAGATTTCTGTCGGGAAACCTGAAGAGAAGACCTTGGGCTTAGTTGAGATTATATTAAAAAGACTGCAAGCGAATACTTCGCCATTATGGAGACTGGATACATTTGGCTCAGGATATGTCCAAGTACAGGGTTTACTATTTGTCATTTTGGGACAATTGTTGCAAAGCAAAGACGGATTCGTTGAACAGTACGTAGCTTATATAGGTACGTTTACATGGGTTAAAACTTGCCCTGGGGAACAACTACATCTGGTGTGTGAGACAAAGTTTGTGTGGTGTATGACGCTGAAATATTCGCTTAAATACGTACACAAAGATGAGTACACATTGCTGATTCTGTGACATACTAGGAACACTAACATAATGACGATTTCTCGATGGAGTATTTTTATGTCATCAGGCCAATGCAAGAGAGCATACGAGATCTGACATCATGAAGAAAGGACTTCCAATCTTTATAGTACTGCCCTGCTGCTCATGACATCTATCAGCACTTAAAAGAGCCGCCGATAAATTTCAGCAAAAGGAAGTCCAATCGTAACGGGAAGTATGTTGCAGTCTTTAATGCTAATAAGGCACAATAGATCACTGTGGTGGCGGTGCAAGGGCCAAGAAGGCCCACCCCTTTTACATTCATTCATTAATGCTAATAAAAACTAAAAAGTCCAAAATAACATTTAATTCCAAGAGTAATATTATCATAGACGCCATTCAGAAAGAGACTGCCATAGATCAACAACAACACAGCTGTAAAATGCTGATATGCCAACGTCATCAAACCATACTGAGGTTTCTGTCCGCTGCTGCCACAGCAAGTACACGGTGCCGAATTCGTGAACATTATTGTCAGACTCGTAAAAATAAATCCTGGAATTCATTATATGATCAGTATACACTAATCTCCTAGCCCTGCGGACTGCAAAGTGCATATTAAGTCCCAGATTTAAAACAGTATGTGATGGAGTGCTATTCTGCTCTGGGCTATTTCATGAGCTTAATGTCACACACTATTTTTAAGGTTCATCAGGTTTCTTCTTTAGAAATTTAAGGAACTGTATTTAAGCTACATGTGAGGTATGGATGGAATTAATTTCGCCTAAAGAATTATGTGTGGATTCGAATACCTACTTTCTTTAAAATAATTAAGGTTTTTGAAAGTTTACACATTTGAATGGAAGAATATAGCAGCATAATCTAAGCTTGTCCTTTACTTTGTGCTCTGAGTGTCCGATCTGGGCTGCGTGCTCGAGTGTGCTGCTAACCATGAAATGGAAACCCCGTCTCCATAACACGACTATTTCTGGTAATGAGGCACTTTAAATGGATGTGGCAATGCAAAAGAACTCACGCCGAGGCAAGGCGTCAATCGTTACGGGGGCAATCATCCTGCCAATTTAATTTATGATGATGGCTACTACTGATTTTGGTGTGACGTAATTAAATGAACACTAGTTAATTGATGAGGATGTTGGCGTTTTGTTGGCAACGCTAATTATAAGCTTGTAGTGTTTTGGCAATATACGTAGGAAGAGGGCCAATGGTGACACGCGTGAATTCAGCCCCTCCCTTTTTAAAGGATGATGCAAATTACTGTGATCGGCATTAAAGAGATTATCGTATTATCCGCAGCTTTATCAGTTCTTCATCAATAAAAATATCTGGAATTACTTATATGTGAAACTTTTTCAGTACATTAGGCACCTGGGAGGGGAGGAGAGAGCAATGCATGACACTGTGTAGTGTATTTATATGAAATCGCCACGGAGGTCCAATGTACAAATTCCTTGGAACAGAGTCCATCAAGTGGACCTAATGGCCGCTAAGATAGTAAGAAAATGTCTACCCCTTTATTGAAAATTTCATTCCATATTTACAAGAGTCTCCCAGTGACCCCTATCCTGTGCCAGTTGAAACCAGTTCACATACTCTTACTCTATTCCTTTAATATCCACTTCAATATTATACTCCTATTTACGCAGACATATTGCAACTGATCCTTTCCCTTCGAAACTTTGGACCAATGTTTGTATGCATTACTCCCCCCTCATATGTGCTACACGTCCCGTCCACCAATCTAGCGTTCTTTGGGAAACAGTACAAAATATGAAGCTCCTCGTTATGCAATTTCTTCCAAGCCTCTTTTTACTTCCTTTCCATAGGAACCATACACACAGACAGCATGTATGAACTCAGAAACTTGCATATCCATTTGAAAATGACCGTTGCTGGAAAAATACACGGAATAAGATGATGAAGGACAGATTGGCTAGAGCATGCCACATACACGCGTGTTTCTGCAGCTTGCAGCCAAAAAGGAAGGACACATCACAGACACAGTACACACAGAAACGACTCCCATAGTGGACGAACCATACTATACGCGAGTTTGAATTAAGACATATAGATGAATAATCTTAAAAAGTTTTAGTATATACAAATTTTATTATAGTTGACGAATAATGTACTTTCTAAATCATTTTATGAAAGACACAGGATGGCAAACAATGTAATAGCTTAGCGTAAATAACGAACCTGAAGATGGCACTATGTTGCCGAAACATGTAGTAAGAAGCGACATATGAAATTGAGTGCACTACATGACGGCCATTACATAAGTATCATGGATGAAAATCCGTGCAACAGGATGGTAAAATACAACATTAGGATTTTAAACGTTGGTTTTCAGATGCGGATTTTTTGTTAAATGTGTTTACACACAAAGAATCGACTACTGTCCAACAGAAGCTACGCTTATGTGATAATTTGACACATCGCACTATGCTGTAAAGGTTGCAGCTGCAGATGGTGGCTCACAACAGTAGCAAACAATTATGTTATTTGCAGTAATTTGTAAATCAATCTAAGTTTAATTATTATGCAAGGGCATCGTCTCAGAATTGTTCTTTGTCACGGGTGTCTGAAGTATCTGCAGATAGCCTATTGTCCCGCAAACTGCTGGGTTCATGACATCACACAGTTGTCCAATCTTAATTGCAGCAATTCTATCCTGAATATTTAGACAGGGAACGACTTGTCCTTTCTTTCGGCCTCTCTCCTGACGCAGTCGTTAATAATGAACATTAATTCGCGAGCCTGGCTGTTTCCTCAGGACACGAGTTCACAGAATGAAGCTAGGAACGGGTGTGAACTTGAAACAGTGTTGTTGGCTGCCGATGCATCTATTACGCGGAATCTGAACAGAATGAGCTCCTCATGAATAATACCACACGTCCTTTCCACAGACTCATCATTAAGGGCAAAACTTCACCCCTTCCCAAATTCTGGTGAAAACACTGTAACATATAATAAGAAGCCCGAGATCTTGAAAAGAATTTAGTGTTCTGTATTTAAAATGCTGTTACTGGGTGAACACCTTCGAGAAGTCTGCGAGCGTGATCGGGTCTTGCGCATTGACCGCAGACGTAACGTACTTGTTTATTGTCGACAGGGAAGTTACGCATTCCTGTAAGAAACGACATGCTACTTTTTATTTATGCGGCTGTGAGCTATTAATATGAGGGAAAGAATTTGTTGACGCACTTGGAGGGAAAGAGACCTAAATATTTTCAAATTGCCTATGGGTATACGAAAAACATTTCCAGTGTTTGCTGAATTAGGCGAAGTATCGCCTAACTAAACAAAATCCAGAGAACGATTCTAGTTGCAACTCTTGGATTTCTAGCTCTTTGAAGATATTAATGTTTACTATATGGGATTCAGCACCAGAAAAACGTTCTTTAGTTTGTTATGAATTTATGAAAAATGCATTAGTAGTAGCATATAAGTAGCCAACATAATTCTCCTTATCCCGGGGACCTATATTACTTCTTAGTGCAGCACCTAAATAACACTCTTTATGGACAGTTTTACTCTCATTTCATTGATGATTTATAATATGCATTTTATACTGCAGAGACATGAACTATTTGTTACTTACACGGCCTTCCTTCCTACAGTAATCTTCGTAGTAACAGAAATGCTGGCAATTACTTTAAGGTTCTTTTTTTAATTAGCTTAGGGGGTGTGGAGTCCAACTGGGTCCACTCGGCACGGCGGCCACTAATTGGCCTATTGTAGCCTGCCCCGGGTGATTATGATGATGGAGAATTTGGTGGAATGAAGATTGGTAGGGGAAACCGAAGTACTCGGAGAAAATCCGCCCCAGCGCCACTTTTTTCACCACAAATCCCACCTGAGCAGACCCGGGATCAAACCCAGGCCGCCGCGGTGGGAAGCCAGAGACTAACCGCTTGAACTACGACGCGGCCAGTGTTAAGTTTATCGACCCCTAGAACAGACCTGTCAGTAGTAGCAATAACAATACTACTACTATTACTATTACTACTACTACTACTACTACTAATAATAATAATAATAATAATAATAATAATAATAATTACTGCTACGTTACTACTTCAGGTGAGAATCTTTCATCTCCGGTCCCCTATCTAATAACGCAAATATGTCTCACCTTACCAACTGCTGCTGCGGTTTTCGCTTGGTTCCATCTTCGACTATGTCGACGGAGAAGGTGTTTTCTTCCGGAACGTGAGGCCTTCTCTGAACCAAACGGCGTTACAACTCAGAAGACCATACTCTTCATAGAGACCGCCATGAGAACCTGTAATCCAGCAAAATGTGTTCTCTTGCAGTGCAATGTTTCCCAGTACGATTCGTTCTACATTAAAGATTTTCAGAAAATACGCCGAAATTATGAATATGAATTACATTTCATATTTATTTCATTAACTGTAAAGCCCTGAAGTGGTTAATGAGAAAGAGGTGAAGTGAACTTTTATTTTTACTGGTTGTACAGTCCCCTTGGGCCCTGACCTCTGATTTTTCAGTTTCATTATCATTTTACAGAGAATAGACCTCCTTGGATGAGAGATCAGCCCGTCGCAAGGTCTCTACCTAAACGCAGTACAACACAAACATAGAATAAACGCATACACATACCAAACATGTAGAGGTGGACTTACCTTAAGGAAAATTACACAAATTATCTATTTACAGTGTCTTTCAGCCAAGTTAGTTAGAAACTCATTTCTGCCCCTGGTGGTCTCTTTGCAATTGTTTGAGTAGAGGAATAATGAATAACAGTCAAAAAGATTTATTTTGTGTGTCTGGAGACAAAGGATCCCGAAACCTGACCATTATTTTTCGGACACAGTGTTTAACATCTCGCCTTATAGTTACTCAATGAAGAAAGTTGAAACACAAGGCTTTACATAAGCACAAGGAATTCCTTGATCAGATGGAAACTACCCGCCGCTTGACAAAGCTGCATAAGTGGATCAAGTGAGCTAGTGTTTGTGGATATTCGTAACAGATGCTTAAAATACGGATGATTAAACCAAGGCGCATGCGACAAGCGTGGCATGTAGCAACTATTGAGAAATAAGAAATACATTCAAAATTCTGGTCGGAAAACTTGAAAGGAAGAGATCACTAGCGAGAAAGCCATGTTTTTGGAATGGTTTGCTGAGCGACTGTTAGCATCGCAAGAGGAGCTACGTCCCATGGAGTCAGTTACGTGACGGACTGCCTCTAGAATCTGGCGGTTTGTTACAGCAAGCCCTGCCACTGTTGAAGAACCCGCAGGACGGGTTCTGTAGAATTATGTTGATGCCAAACTTTGGACAAGTGTTACAATTTGCTAGGACTTCAATAAGACATTTTAGGTTCACCGAACGGCATTCTTTCCTGGGGCAATAAATCTTTAGGTGTAAAACTAGTCTATCCAGCCGAAAAAATCAAACGACCCATTTAAATGTCAGTTCGTGTCTCATATTCGAGATGTTAAGTGACTCCTCTTAAACAGGTTATAGCCCCGTAGTTTGGGAGAATAAACTTCTTGTCACGACCGATCCAGAGCTTCTTTTATGATAGTAAGTCAAATTTAATTTGTAGAAAATCCTCCTTTTGTCGGATGTCATTCAATCACGAAACACACTATCCTGCAAACCCAACAAGAATGTATATTTTCCAGCTGCATTCTTCATATATTTCATTGTTGCATTTATGAAGGGACCCTACTCTGGGACTAACAGAAAAGGAGAAGTATATTCCTGTGGAAAATGCATTATTTCCAGATGAGATATTTGCAGCTAAGCATAAGTTAAGGGCCATAAAAATTGCAAATGTGGTGAAGCTACGAAGAAAATGGCATTATGCAACAGATTTCTTATGGTGGACATTCATACCAACAAATTTTGTAGACATTCAACTAATCAAGTTACATGGTCACTAATTGAAGATTTATGTCAGCCTCTTTATAAAACTGGGCTACTAAATTAATCATATTTTTTCCAAGAACTTCTTAAAACAAACGCACATATATATGATTAGCATGCGTGTGCAGACAAATCTGCATTACAGTGAGAAACTTCATTTTCTCGAGGTCCTGGCTCAAAGTTTAACGTCTCTATCATCTTAAAGTCAAACCCTCGCCGTTTCTGACCTTCAGAACTGATTTATTTTGAGGCAGCTGGCTTCCACCAGGGCTGCCTGGGTCTGATTCCTGTCTCTGCTGAATGGAGAGGTTCCGGGTGGGTTTCCCACGGCAATGAGTCGCTAATTCTGGCACAGCTCCTTTATAGTTCTTCTCCAAATTTAATTCTGACTGTAATCTCATATCATCCCGGAACAGGCTGTCAAATCGACAGGATGGTAGGACGCCACAAGGGAATTGGAAGTCCAACATGTACACGTCTACTCTTAAGGAACGTCCACATTACTCGTGCTCGTGCTCGTCTGACTCGCTATGCTCGCGAGTAATGTGGACGATATGACAAGTCACGAGACAAGCAAATTTTTAATTTTAATTTAAAAACTATAGCCAATAAATTAACATACGACTACAGCCTATACACACTACGAGTAAATATACGGATCCTCACGCGCCGAAGCCTGGCGAGCAACTGAAGTAGTGTGGACAAAGATTTACGAGCACAAGTAAAAGCAAGAAGAGTCTCGCGACGAGCACAAGCCTGGCGAGCACGAGCACGAGTGCGAGCAATGTGGACGCACCTTTATAAAAACAGGACGACGAAATTCCGACTGAATGAAGAACCTTAATAATTCAAGTCCAACCTCGACGTTCGCTACCACGGGTGATACGACCACTTAAAGCACCGTCCCCACACTCATGTCATATTCCCTCCTGCCCATTGCTCCTCATGCACATCTCACAACTTGTAATACCATGACACGGACTGTGAATAGAATGAGGATAACTGAGGGTATCACTGCACAGCTGTGTAACATAATATTCGTTCTAACATGAATAAAATACGGCCTCGAGGGAAATATCAGACCGGGCATGCCTGTGATGTGAAGACGTGTACTTTGGTGTCGAATTTCACAATACTGATATTCGGAGGCTTTATTTTGGAACACAACTATCGTATACATCGAGGAATGTGTGTATGTTAAACCAGACCAAACAGGAAATTTTGAAATTAACTTTAATAAAATGCTAACCTAAAAACTTGAAAGAAGAATGTATTGAATAATAACATGTATTAATCCGTGCTATTACCTCAAGTAAAAATCTAAGGCAAATGTCTATAAAAAAGAACTTCTCATAAAGTACCTTACGTTTCTTTCTCTTTGCAGGCAACTGGGTGTCACAATGGTTCATCAGTCTGCAACCTTTCGTTCAGTCACAACTCGACCAAATATAACGTCCGCTGTCTGAGTGATTTGGCCCTCGGTATAAAATAGGTATTGAGGTGCACTTTATAATTTTCACTAATTGCTACACATCCGTCACTATCGCCATATACTCAGTTTTCGCACGTACATTTTGAGAACTTTCCTTGCAGTAAAAGGCAATCCAATCTTTCGTAATGGTTTCAAACGCAATAAATAGGCGGAACACTGTAAATAAATATTTCCCACCTTCAGCTATTTTGTCCACAGATAATTCCTCGGTTTATCAGCTCGGATATATTAAATATCGAGTTCAATAAACATACACACTGTCTAAGACGTAAATTTGTTTTCGGAAATTTCTGAGACTACAGCGTCAGCTGATGGATGGGTACACTTCAATGCCCCCTAGCGGTCATATCCGCAACTAATACTGACAACAGCGCCTTCTACGTAAGATAAGAAGGGAGAATTTCAAGCCCTGCAAGTCTATGCAGAGCATGTAAAACTCTCTTGTCACCACAATGCTACAATAAACATGCATTATTAACGAAGATATGGGTCTACCAGCTGCAGAGGTTGTGTCGTACAGGATGAATAGAGGTTTATTACGTATTATAGATTTAGCTGTTACTTCTGGGTATGTTAAACCCTCTTTGGTTTTCTGGAAAATTAAAAGCCTATATTAAAGAGAAAAATTATTTTCATAGATGTTACAAGGAGTTTAAGAGTGTGTCTATGACGAATTTTACTTTTACCGGAAATTGGTTAAAACAGATTTAGCTGGCTCAAATCTGTCGACGAAAATTTAAAATATTGCCCTAAGAAATTTTGGAAACATGTGTCACAATTTAGGAAAAAGGATACTGACTTAATATATACTGATATCCACGGCGTTTTTTTATATAACCTAGTGATATTGCTGAGACATTTTCAAAATATTTTCAATCGGTTTGTAACAGTTTTTGGTATCAAACCTTTCCTTCTATTCTCAAAATACTAAAATTTTATTCTTAGTTCCTTTTCCAAATTCCGATTTTCAAAATGCTACAAAACGGGTGGAGGCATTGAAATCAGTCGTACCCGACAGTATAATAAGCTCTGTTATAACGGATTTGCTCTGAAATTATTATAACTATTCTCAGGTTTATTTTTTATCTTTTTTTATTTCTAGTGGGGTGGGACTACATCCCTTGTACTGCGGCTACTTCTGACCTATTGTACCAGCCCCAGATGAAAGGTGAGGGTGATTGTGGAGCAATTGGTGGAATGAAGATTGGCAGGGGAAACCGAAGTACTCGGAGAGAACCTGTCCCAGCGCCACTTTGTCCACCACAAATCCCACTTGACCAGACCCGGGATCCAACCCGGGCCGCCGCGGTGGGAAGCCAGCGTCTAACCGCTTGAGCTATGGCGCGGCCTTATTTTTTCTCTTAGTGTACCATAGAATATACTTCCTAAGCTGTGGAAGCAAGCAGCGATTGCCCTGCTTTTCAAAAATGGAAAGTCTTTCTCTCTTGGAAATTCTCAATTTTCCGAAGTATTTAATTTATACTATATGACCACGTTTCTCACTTCTTAAAATCTCAATTAAATCCTTCCTCATCAAATCCTCATCAAATCAAAATCTACTGTTATCAATTTGGTCATTTTCCTTGACTTTGTTACCCCTTTATTCTGTTCGCAAGGTCAAATTAGTCCAATTTTTAGCCTGCCTTTCTTATTTTGAACAAATTAAAGTAGGCTTTTGAGATCACCTTGCTATCTGTGTGTCTGTATGTGTATCCCCCTACCCTAACAAATTTTGAATGCCTCAACCAATCTTTATGAAACTTGGTATGTATGTCAAGGCGCCTGAGCTCATCTTATCGGCATAATTCACAAATCCGTCCCATCGGAAATGCCAAAACTACATCCTCTCAAATTTCAGAGAAAAAAGCCTTAATACTGCTTGAACGTATGTACCAATCACCATGAAAATTTATATGTATATACTGTATTATGCAACGTAGGGCATCACAATGGCGTACATAATAATTTCTTCTCATCAGTAATACCAACACTAGCCTATCAAACTGTTGAGGTAATTCCCTTAATATTACTCGAATTCCTGAATCGATCGTCATGAAACTTGGTATGTACTTAATGCCATCTGAGCTCATCTCAATGCCACATATTATAAATCCTTCCTCTTGGTAATACCGATCCTGCAGCCTCTCTGATTGCCGCGGTAATAAACTTAATATAGGCCGCGCCATAGCTCAAGCGGTTAGTCGCTGGCTTCCCACCGAGGAGGTCCGGGTTCGATCCCGGGTCTGGTCAAATTGCATTTGTGATGGACAAAGTGGCTGGGGGAAGGTTTTCACCGAGTACTTCGGTTTCCCCTGCCAATCTTCATTCCACCAATTGCTCCACAATCACCCTCACCTATCATCTGGGGCTGGTACAATTGGCCAGAAATGGCCGCAGTACAAGGGACATAGTCCCACCCCACTAGCACTAGAGAAATGCTAAACGTGTGTATCATCGGCATTGAAATCTCAATTTAACATCAACATATCAACTGTTACAATTCATAGTGTTCTCATTAGGACAGTCTGCAGTGCTGTAACATGCAATTTAAATTTTATGAACAGAAACATTAAGAGAAAAGTACATTATGAGTAGCGCTGGCCCATCTGTGGTTGCTGATGGCATGGAGAAATACTCTCTCACAGTTTTACAATGTCAGTTTCTTGTCTGCCAGAGAATTAGTCTTCTCTTGACAGCCCGTCTACTTAAGAAGGTATAAAAGTAGAGAATGGTGATCTGCTCGCAGGTTCCCACAACTTTTTGAACAGGTTGAAGAACTATACTCTCAGTTATTGAAAGTACATAAGGTAAGGTCAGTGAATTTAGGCAAATAGAAATGCATACAGCTTAGTTATTAGTACCTGATCCTAGGCCTTTTGAGTTTGAAACTGCTACTCCAAAGTTGAAAAGCTATAATTCGCCAGGTAGTGACAAAATTCCGGCAGAAAAGAGGGAAGCGAAATATTATGGTCTGAGATCCGTAAGCTCATTAAGACTGTTTGGAATAAGTAAAAATTGTCTGATCAGTGGAACGAGTCTATTATTGAGCCAATTTACAGTAAGGACGATAAAACTGACCGTCATAATTATCGTGGGATATCACTGCTATCAATTTCATACAAGATTTCATCCAATGACTTTCTATCAATGTTAAGCTCTATATAGGTGAAATCATTGGGGATCATCAGTGTAGGTTTCGACGTAACAGATGAACTACTGATTAGATTAAGCTACTCCCAGAAAGCTGCTTTGATACTCATAGGAGGATTGATACCATTGTTTGAAAATTGTTGCTATAAAACAATAGCCAGTTTCTAAAAGAGTCAATTAAATATGATAAATTTCAGAAAAGAATTACTGACATGGTAACAGCGCAGGATTAGAGAACAGAAGACTTTGCTTACTGTGAGCGAACAGCAGGACAATGCGATAGTGCCACTCGCTTGGCACGAACAACATGACAAAGACAAGACACTACGGTCGGTGAGGACAAGTCAATACGACTTCTACATTCTACACCACACAGGTCGTAACGAGGTCTTCATGCCAGTTTCTACAACTTTTCTTGCCGTGTTTAGACTCTCTCTCTCTCTCTTTCCTGTTGCTCCTATTTGGAACATAGGGCATCCGTGAAAAGCTTTGCTTCACTTCAATTTCTTAATCCTGAGACAGTCTGTAGGATTCCTTGGACAGGGGATCAGCCCGTCTCAAGGCCACTACATACAAAATAAACGCAGACATATAGAAACCATAATACATATATGTGTAGCATAACTATCTACGCTCTCAGTAGCAAATATATGGAAAGTAGGTGAACATACGGAAGAATGCCTCGATGCTTACGAGCATTTCAAAACAGTATCCCAGAAATTTCCTTATGGGGGATGAGGATAACTCAGCCAGAACAGTTGATACCTAACTAATGTTTAAAAACGGCAATTCTTGCCTTTGTAACAGCCTTCTCTCTGATTTGTGGCTGTTAATTCAATTCAAGAGTGTGAATATAGTGAATGCGTGTGTACATCTATCATTCGAATTACATAAAAGTTGCCCAATTATCAACCAATCCCCGCTCTTTATGAAACCTGAGTCTCATTGCAGTCTTCACAAGATCTGGACTGTTTCCTGAGCTATCGAAATAGAGTTCACATTCCCAAACCTCGTTTCCTTGAACTCCTCTTTAATATCACCATCCTATCTAAGTCTAGGTCTCCCAGGAGGACGCCTTCCTTCATGTTTAGAGATCAAATGTCGTTATGATTTTTCATCCCTCCTATTCTTGCTGCATGCCTAGTCCATCTTATCCTGCTTTGTTTGATAATCCTATTAACAGGCCCATTGAGTGAAGAACTGAAATTATTCACCACATAGTACAATATACTGGAAAGCGGTTACGAAACGAAACTGTACACTGAGACTTAGTGTGTGCTGTACACGTTTTAGCAGACGACTCCTGAGGAACGCTGTAAACGTATCACGGAAATATCTCTTCAGACATCCTACGACTTTCATTATACATACTATTCCTATATTAATAATTCACTTTACATTTTTTCTCTTGACATAAGCTCCTGTAGATCAAGTTACCTGCGTATTTAAATATGTATTGGTAATTGTGACTTGGCCGGTCACGGTAGCCGAGCAGTCTAAGGCATGCACTGCCTTCGATCGCTCGAAAACCGGGATCGTGTCTTCGAATCCCACTCAGGGCAAGGATGTTCAGTGTTTATGTGTGTGTGTGTGTGCGCGTTTTTTGTGTTTGTTCACAGGCAGAGGTCTTGCGACGAGCTGATCACCCGCGCAAGGTGTCCTACCAAATGTCTAAGATCTACTAAACCGAAGTGAAACGGAGAGTTTCATGGAGGTAGACTAAGGCCCAAATTGGGGCGGTAGTGTTAAAGGGAAAAAGATTATGAATTATATACCAGTATCACCAATATCACTTGCCGTGTCCTAGGAAGAGTAACGCTAGGAGAAAACCTTGTGGAGTCAGACTGCAATCAATCTTATCAGTCGTAAGATTTGAGGCTTTCACGGCGGTGACTATGAAGAAAGCAGTCTTCTGGGATTTGGCACCGTGTATATGTGGTGTTAACCGACGTTTCGGAGGAACGTATCGCCGTATTACCGGTNTCAATCAATTGATCAATCTTATTTGTGCGTTATCTGCAGATATGTAATTTGCATTGCGCGCAAAGTTTTCGACAGGATTACATAAGATTTCCATTCCTACTTACATCAAGCCCAGTAACTATACATTTTTACAGCAAGTCTGAATACAAACTTTTATGAATTGCAGTTGT